GGGGCCAAACTCTCTATTAAGGGCCTGGGTACGGTCGTGTCTGGGAAAGTTACCTTGCCCAATACACTATATGTTTCACAATTAGTTCCTCAGTTGGTTTCTATTGGTCGGTTGACAGAAGATGGGTGTGAGGTTCGGTTCGATAACCAGGGTTGTGTTGTGCAGAATCAGACCACGGGGAATGTTCTGGGGAAGGGTAAGAATGCTGGTCGTGTATTCATTCTTGAAGAATTGGGTCGTTCTCCTCAGCGAGTGAAGGACGCGCTGGGTTCTTTGGAGAATGGCGCTACGTTGGGTGGCATGGGAGATGGATTTGCTGTTGATGGGTGTTGTTTTGAAGATGATAGTTTAATTCAGGATGATGTTTTCTTGAATCAGAACAATTTTTCTGATATGTCCTTTGGTTCCCCGGATTTGTTGGCTTGTTCAGTTCGATTTTTGGATTCTTTGGATTTTTAGTGTACGAACCTCTGTTTGGGATTTATGGCATCGCCGCCTTGGACATCCTCATAATGCTCGGTTACTTAGAATGTTTCGCCGCAATCTGTTGCCTGATAAACTTGATTCTAAATTTGGCTCTCCTCCACCGTGCATGAACTGCAATGAAGCTAAGACCTCTCAATCCTCTTTTTTCCCGAGTGACACAATGTATGGCTCACCTTTTGACTTAATTCATACAGACTTATGGGGTCCATCGCCCGTGATTTCGCACATGGGATACAAATATTTTGCTTTGTTTATTGATCATGCAACTCGGTATGCGTGGATTTACTTCCTACGGCGCAAATCCGAATTAATTGATCATGCTAAGGCATTTGTTCAGTTAGTTCGCACTCAGTTGGAAAAACAGTCAAGATTATCAGGTTTCATCCGGGTGGAGAGTTTAGCTCCCATCCTCTACTGGAGTTTTATTCGTCTAATGGTATTATTTCTCAGAAGTCTTGTCCCGGGGTGTCTCAAAGAATGGATTAGTCGAGAGGAGGCATCGCCATGTCTTAGAGCTGACTCAGACTCTCCTTCTGCAGTCACAGGTTCCACACGGATTTTGGCTAGAAGCAATCAATGTCGTTGTCTATGTGATCAATCGAAAAATCACTTCCACACTGAATGAATGTTCTCTGTTCTTTTGTCTTTTATCCAAACAGTCTAATTACTCCTGGTGGAAGGATCGCCATAAACTTGAATCCAAGACTGTCAGGTGTGTCTTTCTGGGCTACAGGACTGTCATAAGGGATATCTTTGTTATGATCCTCAAGAGCGTAGAATATTGCGCATTTCTTGAACATGTCATGTTCTACTCGACTTGTCTTGAGGAACATCAGCCGACTTTGGACTTTCTTTAGCCATTACCTACGTTCGACATTACGCCTGCTGTTGCTGTCGAACCATATGGTCCGGATCCTCCATATCCACCGGGTCTCCTGCACTCTCTCCTCAGTCTTCCTCCTCGAGCTCTTCCTCCTTGGGCTCTTCTTCTGATTCGTCTCCTTCGACTCTCAATATGTCCGAGACTTCCTTCTCCTCCGACTCGAGCATACAGTCAGCCTCGCCATCACCTCCCATGCCTCGTCGATCCAATTGCAGCAACCTGGGTCAACCGCCTCTCCGCTTGCAGGATTACGTCAGTTTCTCAATTGAGCCAATCTCTATTCCTCATCATTACTAAGATGTGGTTGGTCACCCCGAGTGGGACGCAACCATGACAGAAGAAACTCGCGCACTGGAGGCAGATCGGACGTGGGATATAGTTCCTCGCATTCCGGGTGTACATGTGGTCGGTAATCGCTGGGTGTATAACATCAAGATGTTTCCTAATGGCAGTATAGAACGTCATAAGGCTCGCATTGTGGTGTAGGGATTTTGACAGGAGTATGGCATCAATTATGATGAGACATTTGCCCTGGTAGTTCGTATGTAGATTGTTCGTAGAGCTGTGGTCGCCATGCAGAACTGGCCTCTTATTCAACTCTATGTACAGAATGCATTTCTGCATGGCGACTTGAAAGAAACCATTTATATGGAGTGCCCTCCGGGATATGATAGGGGGGGGGGGGGGGGGGGAGGGGGGGAGGATATGATATGTAAACTGCACAAGTCCTTGTATGGGTTAAAGAAAGCGTCGCGAGCATGGTTTGAGAAATTTCATGGTACGGTCCTCCAGCCTGCCTTCTCTCAGAGCACGAGTGATCCCTCTATGTTTTTGCGGAATACAGTCCATGGTGTCATCGTTCTATTACTCTATGTTGATGACATGATAGTCACAGGCAGTGATACAGTCGGGATCAGGGAATTAACGCAGTCTCTACATTCTGCGTTTAATCTCAAGAAGTTGGGCGATGAGTCTTATTTTATTGGATTGGAGGTAAGCCGGTCGAAAAAGGGATTATTCATTAGTAAGCGTAAATACATTGTTGATCTTCTTGAGACGGCGCAATATAGTGACTGCCGACCATGCTCTACTCCAATAGAGCAACACTTAAAGCTAAGTAGGGACAGTGGAGAGTTACCGAAAGATCAGACCGGACATAGCTTATGTTGTACAGAATGTAAGCCAGTTTATGGGGGCAGCGAGAACTTCACATTTGGATGTTGTGCATCGCTTGCTGAGATACTTGAAGCATACGCAGGATGTGGGAATGTTTTTCCCAACGGATAATTCACTTGTCTTGGAAGGATTTGTCGACGCAGACTACGCAGGCTGCCTGGACATGTGACGGTCTACATCTGGATGGTATGTCAGGCTCGGTTACTCGTTCATTTGATGGTGATGGCGCAAACAGGATTATTTGTCGACTGAAGATCAAACAGCTGACTTGTTGACGAAGCTCGTTGCATCCAGCCGACATTGGTACATGTCTTGCAAATTGATGTTGCTTAATCGATATCAATTTGAGGGAGAGTGTTAATTAAATAGCCAAGTATTTAGGTAGGCCATAGTTAGGTTACTATACCTATATATATATATATATATATATATATATCGTGTAAGCCGAAAATGAGTAATCAAGCAATATAATTCTAAAACCTGTGAGAGAGATCCTCACCGTGGACTAGTGTCATATTGACGAAACCACGTTAAAAACTCGATGTTCTTTGTATTTTCCTGATTGTTTGACATAATCGACCTAAACATATTAAAACAATTTAAATACCCATATCCCTTTATAATAATTCATTAATGAAGATATATATTGATAAAGGATCGATTCCACGATAATGTCCTTGTAACATCATTACCATCATAAATATATTACCATCATTATTATGATGTCATGGGTTAAAATATCGTCCCTTGACCGAGAAGTGAGGAAGTATGGTGATATAAAGGTTAGCAAATTTAGTGGTTGATTAAATTAGGTATGTGGACATGGTGGTAAAATTTTTCATGAATCATGATTAAAGGACTTAAGTGCAAGAAAAGGGAAGTTGAATAATCAAAATAGTAAACCGTGTGGTTTGATCATATGGCAAAGGATTAGGGGTGGGCATATGGTTTGGTAAAACCGATCCAAACCGAACTGAGTACAAATCGAATTAATATTATTCGGTTTGAAATTCAGAAAAGAAAAAGACATATTTCGAAAGTCAGGCTCCTTTCGACCAAATCAAACTTCCGAATTCCGAACCAAAAACCAAACTTTTCCTACTTGAGCCCAATATTCTACCCAGCCCAATCCCCACACAGCCCAACTAACACTAGCACGGCCCAAAACTTTAATTAACCCTAAGCCTAATGGAGTGACAGACTAACCTAATGAGAGACTCACTTTCTGTTCCCTTTATCTCTGCTCTTTCGGCCACCACTACCCATCAATCCTTTCACCTCAGCTCTCTTTGCAACTCTTTGCTTGTGAACTTTGGAGATCCCGCCGTCTGCTTCTCAATCGGACTTTTTTTTTGTAGATCCGACTTATGCTTCTCAATCATGCCTCTCTCATCTCCCACCCTTGCCGAATCTATCTCTCGTTGTCACCTAATTATTAGAGATGTAACAGATACATAAAAAGAATTTTTTTTATTTACTTCTTTTTCCCACTGCACTTTTCCGTTACTACTTCCCTGGGACGTGCTAAGTGGGATGACCATGTTGTTAGCTTCCTCTACTTTCTCTCCGCAGAACTCTTGTATAAATCACCCACTGTGAATCTAATACAATTAAGTCACTTTTCTCACAACAATAATATCTCTATAACCTATCATGGTATCAGAGCTATTCACGATAAACTAGATTCGATCCACTCTTCATTTTCCATTTTCCTTTGTTCTTCATTCTTACTTCGGAAGCATGTCTGGTTCCACTATCTCAAGCAGCTCGATGGCCTCTGATGATGCAATTGTCACATTTAATCATGCTGCTTAGCTACCGCTAAAACTCACGCCCACCAATTTTAATTCATGGAGGTCACAGCTGGAGACTCTCCTCATGTGTTTGGATCTTATCAGCTACATCGACGGCACCGGCATTACTCCTGCTCAAACGATCACAGCAAACGACGTCACCAAACCCAATCCTCCTTATAACCGCTGGTTTCGACAAGATAAGGTCATTCTCCATGCCCTTAGATGCTCTATCTCTGAGTCTTTGTACTCATATGTTTCTGCTGCAAAAACATCATGTGAAGCATGGTCAATTCTCGAAAAACTTTATGTTGGTCGTTCCCAATCTCGCATCATTAATCTGAAAGGGAAGATGAGTCGTATAGTCAAAGGAGATCGTGATATTGTCTCCTTCGTTAATGATTTAAAGCAAACTGCTGCAGAGCTTGCACTTTTTGATGACCCTGTATCCGATTTGGACTTGGTAGTCCATTTCCTTAGAGGTCTTGGTCCTGACTACAACTCGTTCACCGCCGCTGTCCGGGCTCGAGGCTCCATTGTTACACTTGAAGATCTCCTGGACTCCCTCGTTGAGTCCAAGGATGATTTGAAGGAGCAATCAAGCTTGTCCTCTGTTCCCACGACTTTTTACACTCATGGGATGACTCGCAAAGGTGGAGCCGAGGTCCCGAAACGGTAACGGGCCTAGGCCTCAGGAATCGGACTAGAGATGAATGCCTGGTGCCGGGGGCCGGGCGAATGGTGGGCCCGGGTACCGGGAATAAAAAAGGGACGGGGCGCCGGGAACCGGACGGGAGGTGAAGGCCCGCCATCGGGAGCCGAGGCAATGGTGGGTTGGTGTGCCGCGAGGAAGACGGAGCCCGGGAGCCAGGGTCCGAGAACGATAACGAGCTCGGGCGTTGGGAACCGAACGAGAGGTGAAGGCCCGCCGCTAGAAGCCAAGGCAATGGTGGGCCCGAGTTTCCGGACTAGAGGTGAAGGCTTGTTGCCGGAAGCTGGGACAATGGTGAGCCCGGTTTCTGGAAAGAGGGCGGAGCACGGGAGCCAGGAACGATAACGGGCCCAGGCTCCGGGAACCGGACGAGAGGTGAATGCCCGCCATTGGGAGCCGGGGCAATGGTGTTCTCAGGTGCCGGGAGGAGGACAGATTCCTGGAGTCGGGGTCCGGGAACGATAACGGGCCTAGGCGCCGGGAACCGGACTAGAGGTGAAGGCCTGCTGCCGGGAGCCGGGGAAATGGTGGGCCCGGATGTCGAGAACCGGACGAGAATGATGATGGGCCCGGGGCGAGAGGCAGAGTCCGAGAATGATGACGGACTAGGCCTTCGGGAACCGGACGAGAGGTGAAGGCTCGCCGCTGCCAGGAAAATGGTGGGCTCGGGTGCAGGGGTCTGAGAACGATAACAGACTAGAGGTGAGGGCTTGCTGCCGGGAGCCGGTGAAATTGTGGGCCCGGATGTCGAGAGGAGGGCGGAGCCCGAGAGCTGTGAATTATAACGGGCCTGTGATCCGGGAACCGGACGAGAGGTGAAGGCCCGCCGCCGGGAGACAGGGAAATGGTGCGCCCGGGTGCCGGGAGTAGAGCAGAGCCCGGGAGGCAGAGTCCGAGAATGATAACGGGCCCGACCTTCGGGAACCGGACGAGAGGTGAAGGCTCGCCGCTGCCAAGAAAATGGTGGGCCCGGGTGCCGGGGTCCGAGAACGATAACGGGCCCGGGAGCCGGGGTCCGGGAACGATAACGGGCCCGGGCGCCGGGAACCGGGAGAGAGGTGAAGGCCTGTCGCCGGGAGTCAGGGCAATGGTGGGACCGGGTGTCGGGAGGACGGCAGAGCCCTGGAGCCGGGGGCAATGGTGGGCCCAGGTGCTTGGAGGATGGCGGAGGGCGGGGCCTGGAAGCCGGGGTCCGGGAACGATAACGGTCCCGGTCGTCGGAAACTGGACGAGCGGTGATGGCCCGCCGCCGGGAGCCGGGGCAATGGTGGGCCTGGGTGCCGTGAGGAGGGCGGAGCCCGGGAGCCGGGGTTAGGGAATGATAACGAGCTAGGCGCCGGGAACCGGACGAGAGGTAAAGGCCCGCCGCTGGGAGCCGGGGCATTGGTGGGCCTGGGTGTCGGGAGGAGGGCGGGGCACGGGAGTCGGGATCGGAGGGAGGAACCTTCAACTTGGGGCAATCACGAAGCACTATATGATTTAGTGTTGGCGGGCCATGGCACAATTGTGTACTAATTGTAGCTGGACAGACCTGACCCAATACTTCACCGGAGAGATTCGTGGGCTAAGCACGATTGTCTGCCCAGGTGCAATAATGCACTATTTGAGTAGATGGTTAGCTGATGCGGTAAAAGTATTTTTACATTGGGTATATCAAATACATTTTTTAATGCCAATGAACTAAAACAATTCATACTTTGCCAAATACATCTCGCATGTTAATGTACAATTTAAATGACACGCAACTGAATATCAAATTACATATACATTGAACCAAATGTCCCCAACATTGCTGCATTTCCAATGGAATAAAAATCAAACTCCCGAGTGTGGATCTCGGGCACAACAAAATCTATATTGAGGTCATCATCAACCAATACATGCCCAGTATTCTGATAGGTTGGTGCTTGATCAATAATAATATTCTTCCCATAATTTTCTTCGAGAATCTTAATTTGAGGGTTTGTTAGTGACGGTAATAGCTTTCTGGCTTGTATTTCATATTGAAGATTCAGGATGATAGAAATTAATAAGAGTATACGATGCACTATAAAAGTTGATGAACTCGGAGAACCCATTTTATCTAGTCTTTTTTCTTCTTGTTTCCTGGATTAAAATAGAATCAAATGTCCTTGAGGAAATATATTATTAATTGATTGATTTATCTTTTAGTGAATGTTTAGGAAATGTGAATCCATTATTACCATGATTGTAAATTTATATGGACTATGTTAGTTTTTCAAGTCCGGATGATGTGTTACTTTAGTTTACCACGTGGATATCACTTCTGATGGTAAACTTAATAACGATTAATGGTTTAACATGGGTATAAGCTGCAAACTACATGCAGACTTAAAAAAATGATATTGCATGTTCTAGAAGAGAAGAAAGCACATACTAAATTTACCTTTCCTTCACTATCAAAGAAAAAAACTTAATATTCCACCCTTACAACCGTTGTATCTTCTCCTCAAGAAATCTGAACATTCCGTCTTCCATCTCACTGCAAAGAATGACAGGTCAAGGTATTTATCCATTATGCCAATTCAGCATGTGCATTATAAACTCACTTGATGATTTGCCGAGAAGACGAGGTCCGTCGAGAAGGGAAAGAAGGACAAGTAATTGATTCATGCGTAAACTTTGATCGAATAACGCAATCTACCTACTTATTGAGAAAAGAAAAATAATGAAGACATGGGAATGGTAGTGGTTGAGATGGAAGGGCACAAATTGGAGCACAAGTTGGTGGCAGCAGCATAGACGGATGGGCAAGGCCAGATGACCAAATAGAAATCCCTACCCTTCAACCCTTTGTTATAGCAAGAGATCTTTGATCTGGGGATCTTACAATTTGATACGGTTTCCATAACAATTAATGTCATTTGGTGATTTATCTATCTAGAGAGTTAGAGAGTAACTGGCCTACGAGGAGCAAGGAACAAGATGGGGATGCACGTTGTGGGTTGTTAATTTTTTTCAGAAGAGTGACTCTGTCTATTGGTTGCTGGCGCTGAGGATGAAAGCTAGAGGATAGAGGTAACAGTAGAGGAAGGAGAGGAATCTTGGACGACGGGTGAATTTTTGTTATTTTTTCTCTTAAAAATGATGTTTTCTTAATATTAATTAACATTATTAATGGTACATGTGAAGTTGACATGATACATACATGGAACTCAAATAGGAGCCACATATTCAATGGTGAAATATCATTTAACATTTTGTTAGGTTAACTGTTAACTATAACAGTCAACGAAAATTTGAGTAAATAAATTACATTGATCCCTATGGTTTAGAATATTTTTGACTTTATTGGAATTTTGTAGTATAAATGAAAATTTCACTAAAGATTAGTATTATCCCTATTTTTATGTATTTGAGTCCATTTTACAATCGATAGCAATAGAGTGTTTGTAAACTTATTCTTCATAAAATCGATCACTCATATCTCTATTCTATGACTAATTTACATGGTCACCAAGCTTATTAATTTTTTGCACGTTTTTCTTCAAAAAAGTTTTCCTTTCTTATTACACGCTCACTTTAAAAATCGTTTCACAGTTGATTACTGATTGTCTAGTCCTGTTAAATTAATCTTATTGGGTATGCCTACTATGACATGCATGTCACCGTGACATGGACTTTTAGGTCGACCTAATCCTGAAGGCGGTCGACCGAATTGACTAATTTGGGCAGCACGAGAAAGCATTGCGGTCGACCTCACCTAGTTTAAGTTGTTATTTTTGGTCGACCAGAATAAAACCTCGGTCGACCATTTCGTTGGCGTCAGAAACAACATGGTCGACCGAAAAGGTATATAGGTCGACCACTTGATGGCAATCATTCACAAAATGGCCGACCATATAAGGAAAGAGGTCGACCAGATAGAAGATAAGTGTTCTATCAATTTGTCCAATAATTTGACGTAAAATGAAGATCAAGTGTTGGTTTCAAGGTCGACCTAATCCGGTACGAGGTCGACTGCATACAAGAAGTCAACCTATGCCCCGTGTCTTTTTTGCTTATGTATGTCGATTTGTGTGGTTCTTTTGCTCGTATACATAATGTTTCAAACCATCATAAATAGTCATAAATAATGATAACAAGGACTCATCAATTCATAGCATAACAACTAAACAAACTAACAAGAAATTCAATAAAATAGAAATCATAATTGTTCACACATAAAAAAAAACTAAAATAACAATCAACAATCGTTTTGACCACTTAACAATAAAAACACACAATCTAAAATCTTCGAGATCCTACTCATGTCCCCTCTCTCCCTCATCCACATTTTCTTCATTGGTGGTGCTAGCATGATGGTGGTCGGATGTGGTGGGATGCATGTATCTTCCGCGGAAAGATCGCCACTCATCTCGCATCTCATTCACGGTAACCTGCATTGTGCTCATCTGGGCGGTCATTTGCCCCATGTAGTCGTATATGTCAGTCATCTGGGTGGACATCTAGCCCATGTACTCGTACATGCCATCCATGCGCTCCCACACACACTCTAAGGTGATCCGTGGAGTTGAACTATGTGCATGCGGCATTGGCTCGTCTCCGGCTCCTTCATCTCCATCACCATCATCCTCCTCCTCCTCATCACCACCACCATGGGCACCATGAGCATTGATTCGGACATACTCACCATTACGCAGCTCAAAACCCATCTTTTTCAGAGATGAAACTGTATAGAACTCCTGCCTTGAGATTTTTAACCCCACCTCACCACTTAAATCCACATTAAAATGCTCAAATAGCAAAGTGAGGATCATCCCATAGGGAAGATTCCTGTTTGAACTCTCTGCAGCAGTAAGCATGTGGTTAAAGATCAAGTATGGCAAGTTCACCTTCTCGTCTAACAGTAGGTTGATGAGGAGCTCCATGTCGAAGTAGGTGACTGTCTCTCGATGCCCACCCTTTGGTAGAATGTTGTAGGAGAGCATGTGGTGAAGAACTCTGACTTGAACTGTCAGGTGGTTACTCGTTGGCCAACTGCGACCTTGAGCATCTTCCTCTTCATCAAGACCACATACCATCTGGATTTGCTTGGCTCTCGAGAAATGAGTTTCATTCCAAGCAGTGTAAGAATTTATTCTCTTCCCCTCGTTTGGAGCCTCTAGTACTTGCGCCAACACATTCTTGCTAATGAGCATCTCCACCCCATTCACATAGCTTTTAAATGCATGAATGGATCCATTTGCATTATGCTGATAGGTGATGTTGTTGTAGAAGTATTGTATCATTTTTGGGTAGTATGGTACATTCAGAGATATCACCTTCAGCCACTCTTGCTCGATAGAGGGTCCTAGAAACCCGTAATTCTCGAAATGATAATACGCATCCGTAGTCAATGGCCTTCCAGGAGCCACCCTGCGGTTGTGCATTCTCTTCTCTTCATAGTTGTTACTCTGCTCCTTGGTCTGGAATAGATTGGGATTGAACTCTTCCCATTCCGAACTTGAGGCAGCAGCTTTTTGTGACTTTCTTTTCTTTTTGTTGCCAAACATCCTGCGATCAAACAAGCGAGAATACACGTTAGTCACATTTTCGAAATGAACAAAATGTGGTCGACCACTCCATAAAGCGGTCGACCTCAGTCAATTTAAAACGAGAATGGGTCGACTCAAACCCGTAACAATTGGAGTACAAAAAACAATAGGTCGACCTCAATTGAAGCATAGGTCGACCTCGAAAAATTTAAAACGAGTCTCTAAATGGACCAAATGCTTAAAATGTTGAGTGCGAAACAGATTAGGTCGACCACAAAATTACAACAGGTCGACCTCAATTAGTTTAGCACAAATAATTCGTAGGAGAATGACAAAACTCGTATTTTTGCCTTCATAGGTCGACCTCAGAAGCATCATAGGTCGATCTCGGCAAATTTAAATCAAGTCTTAAATGGCCCAAATGCTTTTAATGTTGAGTGAAAAATAGATCTGGTCGACCTCATAATTTCAATAGGCTGACCAGAGTTAGTTTCGCACAAATAATTCGTAGGAGAATTGCAAAACTTGTATTTTTGCCTTCATAGGTCGACCTCAGAAGCATCATAGGTCAACCTCGGCAAATTTAAAACGAGTCTTAAATGGCCCAAATGCTTTTAATGTTGAGTGCAAAACAGATCTGGTCGACCTCAAAATTTCAACCGGTCGACCAGAGTTAGTTTCGCACAAATAATTCGTAGGAGAATGGCAAAACTCATATTTTTGCCTTCATAGGTCGACCTCAGAAGCATCATAGGTCGACCTCGGCAAATTTAAAACGAGTCTTAAATTGGCCAAATGCTTTTAATGTTGAGTGCAAAACAGATCTGGTCGACCTCATAATTTCAACAGGTCGACCAGAGTTAGTTTCGCACAAATAATTTATAGGAGAATGACAAAACTT